TTCATATGGATCAGTCTTCTGTGAGTTTCTTAGACCACTCGACTTGTCGGTTACAAAATTTTCATTAAACGTTAAATTAATTTGTCGTGGCGCACATCCCTAGTAAAAGGAGGACTCTTTATCCACTAAGGCGCACAGTATCTGAGCAGGAATGTAAGCGTGCCGCACATGTGCGTTCATGCATTACTCCGCATTTCCACAGTACCAGCACACCTCCATGGGAAGGCATTTCAATGATTTTCCAGTGAACTCTACAAGCGTAATTTGATGCTCTGCTGTCAGCGAGGCGCTCTGGAAGTCTATGCGGTCAAATGCCACAAAAAACAAGGTGCCTCCTTCAAACAGCGACAGTGCCATCATTATTCTTAGCGAGCAGGACATCACACTTGTTGGGCTTAATGGTGTAAACACAGGAGGACAGAGGTGTTGTCTTTGGTGCCACTGGTTAAGAATGAAAGCATCTCCATCTCTCTGACACCTGACCTCGTTGTCAATCTGTCCGTGACTCTCAAGACTATCTAATGTCAGCTCATCTGCCTGAAGGCGGCTCCGGTTTCAGCTCAGCCAAGCAAGAGCTCCAGAGGCTCCAGTCGCTGAGGAACACTGGTGACGTGGGAAAGCGAGGCCTGCGTTTGGACGTTATCTGCCCAAACAGACGCAAGTTTCGGCTCTTATCGCCTACGGATAGGGAGGACATTGTGTTAACAACCACTGAGGCGATGTCCAAATGTTACGGCCCTCAAAGGAAAAGGTCAAGGAAAGGTCATCCAGACTACAAGATGAAGGAAAGAACATCCGTCACTTTGAAGCATGAATGTTGATAAGTGTTCGCACACAAACACCATGTACATTGGTGTTTCTCAAAGATCTGTGCCCGGGTGCATAAAGCACCTTAAGTGTAATTTTCCCTCAGGAACACCCTTAGGTTTCCCTTAAACTTAAGGGTGTTGCAAAAAATAACACTTAAGTGTTACTTGGGGTGTATAATGTTTCGACTTTCAACAAGTGAAATTCTTAAGGGTTTCTTTAAAGTATCTATATTTCCCTTAAGTAATCTCTTAAAGGGGTCATATAATGCCATTTTTGTACAAGCTAGTATGATTCTTTAGGGTCTAAATTAAAAGTTTGTAATATACTTTAATTAAAAATTCTCATTAGTATTGTAAGAAAACACTTATTTTACTTGGTCAAAAACAGCTCTGTTTTCAGCACGCCGTTTCAGTGCATATGACTTTAAATGATAATGAGCTTTGCTGACCCCGCCTCTCTGTTCTGTACATACACCGTTTGTAACACAATAACACAATAACCATAACGCGTTGTTCAGTATAAACGTGGGATTATGAATTATATTGAGAACATCATACATAGAAAACATGCCGTAATGTACCCTGAGTGTAAACCTTAGACGCATTCATTGTGAAGCATGCAGCTAGCGATTTGCAAAGATTAATATAAATATTAATATAAAGTTTAATAAAACGTTACACTCACTTCAGTTGTTCTAGAGGTTCAGCAGGAACATGAATAGCTGGTACCGGTCCTTTATTCAGGAGCAGCTTCTTAGCAAAACCAGCTCATACTGACCCTCGTTTATAAAGCAGTCTGGTGTGTGAAATGATTCCCGCAAACATGAAAGCATTGACGTTGCTCGTGGGGAATATTCCCTTCGAAAACAAACTCAGCCACTGCGTCTTCAGCGGTTCGGATTTAGGAACATTAAAATGACTGCTGTGTTCGTTATTACACCCAAGAACAGAACACCACAATCGCTTAGACGCCATTCTGCTCATAGACAGTGCTCCAGCATATCAACAATGACCGCGCCGGTCCGCGCAGACTATGATTGAAACGCTGCTGTCAATCAACAATCGTGGGAGGGGCGTGCGAGCTTGTGACATCACAAAATCGAACGGCTCAATTTGAGGCAGGGGAAAACATATAAGGAGATTAAAACAAAAACACTGGATGGATTTTTATCATTATATGATGGTTGTGTACAGGCACTGCCAACACACATTTCAGTGCAATCAACTTGTAAAAGTGCATGTACCATTATATGACCCCTTTAAAAAAACGATAAGTGTTGCATAAAGCCCCTTAACTGTCATGGTTCAATCCAAGTCTTTTAACGAAACGCAATCGGCCGCTTTATATGACAAACAAATTTTAATTTATCATTTTTTTCCACATATAAACACATAAAGCACATCTTATATGGTTAACAGAAGCTCAAGTGTTGCATAAAGCCCCTTAACTGTCATTTTTCTAAGTATAAGTATATTTTTTCTAAGTATAACGTAAGGTTTGGAAAACTTCACCTTAAGTGTTACACGGAGCGAGTAGGCTCAATCCAAGTCTTCTACTGAGACGCGATCGAAGTTTTTTCACATATAAACACATACAGCACATCTTATATGGTTAACAGAAGCTCAAACATGCATGTGTCACACACAAGAACAAACCTCATTGGTTTGAGTTTCCGGACCAGCCTGAATCATATGGATTACTTTAATGTCTTTCAATAAATGGGCAGAAATGATGAGCAAATATAAAAAATATCTTTATTTGTATCTAAAGATGAATGAATGACTTATGGGTTTAGACCGACATGAGGGAATTTTCAATTTCGCACAAACTATGTAAAATAGTAAGCAATCAGTTGTTTTTAGGTTAAGAATGTGATGTTTGTATTTTAACCCTTTTATATGCTTATAATGTACAGCATAGCCTACATAGGTATTCACTATACTTGTTTTCATAGGCTTTATATTACTTGATATTGCTTTATATTACGCATTGTTTGGAGGACAGCATTGGGCAGGATGTGGAATAACATTGTTTAAATTAATGTATAATAATTTTTTGATTTTGCATCTGATTATATGAAAAAATAAATCGACAGCCCTACCCCAGACATTCCCATAATGACTACCAAACCCCTCACACCATTCCTGCGGTCTGCAGAATCTACAGTATACTGTACGCATTATGCAAATGATCTGCATTCATGGGACACATGGTTGGCTTACTATATTTGCCAAACTGTGCAGTAAAAAAGGGAGCTCACTGTGTGCAATACTGCATCCCACAATGCACTTGCCCTGACTTAACCTTCCATTTCCAGCTTGACTAATGAAATGAAAATAATATCAGCTTTTTCTCGTTCTTCTCATTATCTGATCAGACTGCCGAGAGAAAAATAAAACCGGTTTAAAAATGCAAAAATAGAGCAGCCTCAGTCTATGTTGGCGGAGCAGATTTCGCTGAGTTTATCCCAGCCAGCATGCACACGAAATCCCTGCATGTGTAATGTGTAATCGTGCGTGACCTTGCAAAGTCAGTCTCCTAATTTTCATTTGTGAAATAGGAGTATTCGGCTACAATCCATGCAACATACGCACAAGAGGATCTGGTGGAGTCTCTCAGTCCACGTCCTGCTGTTCTTAAGTCCTGTTCTGGGATGAAGCGGCCCAAAACAACTGCTGTAGGATCAGTCTACCATAGCCTTAAACCTTAACCAATAGCAAAAAGCTGTTTCTAGATTGGCAGTGGCTCATAAATAATAAAGTATGAGTTCATTGTTTATCATTTTTATCTTACCGTCTGCAGTGCCATGGTCTAAACATTTTTATCAATGTAATGGATGGATTTAAATTAATTAGGTTATGGTAGAATAAAAAGCAAAGATCAAAGTATGTAAGCAAAGCCATGTGTTTTTGTTTTTTAAGAAAAAATATCCATATTTATAACTTTATAAACTATAATCACTGCCTTCCGGTAACGACTGTACACGAGTCGACTTCTGGCGGATGAGTGACCTCTGACCCGACGCATCATAATAGAAATCATAAATAATGGGGTAATTTTCATTTTTGTGTGAACTAACCCTTTAATTTTGAACTCTCAAACTTGTGATCCAGATTGATGCATTTAACTTTAAAATGAACAAAACTGTCTTAAGGGAGGTTGGCATGACCCTGGACACCCCTAAAGGAACAGAGGTCCACCCCACATGGTCTCATAAAACCTAGGGGAAACACTGCACTCATATCATGTATATTATTTTTAAATGACTTCGCATAATAATTCATAATGTTTCTATACCACCACAGAAAGCAATTAGCAATTAATGTTTTCAAAATTCAATCTCCCACTCTTTAGGAATATTTAAAAAGCACCACCATGACTAGTACTAGTACATACTGGTGTACTGAAGTGCCATTAATGACCTACACATTATGTCTGCACTTGAACTGCTAAGCGCCCCCACTAATTTCAGAAGCACCCTCGGTAGTTGTGTTCTGGTCCCGGGAAAGCAATGTACAGCATACAATGTAGCATAGTGTTGCTTGAAATCTTTATTCCATTGTAGACATGGGCCGGTTAAATGGTAATACGATATATCATGACTTTTTTTGCAACTTATTTCAATATCGTGATAATACAGTACACCGTGATAAAAGCTTCAGCAATTATCGCAACATGACAATTTGATATCGTCACATGCGTTCTGACAATTGTTAAAAAAACACACCAGTCAGCATGTGCTATCAAAACCCTGATTTCTCAAACATGACACGGGTCAATAAATGCAATATATCCACCATTATCATGATCTATACAATGCCAAGTCAACAAACATGCTGAACCGAACATTAAACCGAAACTTGGACACGTAACATTCTTTATGGCACATTTCTGTATCACAACGTCAGATTATGACCCATGTTATCTTAACACGATAGAGGAAATAGTGATAATGAAAGATTAAAAGTCTATTTGTTTCTCATTGTTCAGTACTAATGACAACCACATGAACTGAAGTGACTGCTACCCTAGATGTTTTTTTTTCTTTATTTTGTGAACTCTATAACAAAGACACCATATAATCCTCTTCAACATTTTCAAATCTCTACACATGAAAACTGGCACTTTAGGAAGAGTAAATGGAAAAGGGCTCATGCAGTTCTCAATAAAAAGCATTAGCCGTGACTCACCCAGTTCCCTGGACACTGGAGACACGGCTGCGTTCTCCCCGATCTTAGATACAGCATCAAAGTACTGCTTCCCAGCCAGAGCCATGGCTGCAAAGCGAGGATAAGAACGTGTGTTATTCTACTGAGGTGGAACAAAGAAAGACATGCATTTCACTTTCTATATTACAACATAATGCAAGATAGTTATAAAACATTGGATGATCACCATTCTGACTTTTCTGATTTACAGAGGTGTCTGGTGTCCATTCAAAAACCCACAGACAAATTTAAAATACTTGTGAGTACATTTTGAGTATCATATTATGTTGTTTCATCAATCTGCACGCGTCTCATTTGTTATCACCATATTATAAAAAGCAATTCAAAAGCAGCTGGGAGGAGAAGATATTTGGATGTACTCTGATGTCTAGAGAGCCGTTTTAAAAAGCCGACACACTGACTATGTTTACATACAATAATCAGATTAAGGACTTCATCACGATAAGACGTTTACCAGACACGAGAAAACCTCTTCACTCCCGTTTACATGCAATTTTCATTATTCTGGTTATTCACTAAGTATTTTTTTATCACATATTCACATATCTAGGGCTGTCAACTTTAGTCGTTTAGTCGACTAATCGGTCGATGCCGTCTTGGTCGACTGACATTCTCATTGGTCGACCAGTTGCATATTTATTTATTTTTTTACCAATAGAAAGAAATTTTCATTGATTTACTCCTTGATATTTATTCCTTTATAAGCAGTTATATATTACTGTATTCTAAATATAATTAGCCTATGTTTTATCCCCAACTTTAAATGCTGTAATTTAGGCTATTTTGTAACAGCGCCACAGTTTTGACAACAGCCCTACAAATATCCCATATCCCATACACAAATGATGAACTCGCATACAGTAGACGTGTTACTGGCCACTGTTTTAATCTACTTATGTCAAATGCGAAACATTTCTACTTCGACTATGTGATTTTTTTCAGTGACGAGCCTTAAATATCTTCATTTCAATGTTTTCGACCATCATCATACTGCATTTTTATCATCATGCAACGCTGTCAACACGAACTCCGTTTTGTTAGCACCCCAAAAATGATTTACGAATCCGCATGAAAACATCATTCGTGTGTACATGTCACAAGCACATGTGCACTTTGGTGGAATAGATGTGAATAAAGTGTTAATATACCAATTTATTGTGATTAAAATTGGCATAATCCACGTTTTTACTACGATTATGGTTACTGCGATTATGAGCTTAATCGCATCAACCTGATCGAAGTATTGCGTTAACATAAGGTAAAGTTTAATCGCAGTATCTAAATCTCACTATAATTGCATTACGAGGGTGCATGAAAACGTAGTCAATGCCTTACCACGGGGTTTATAGCAGAAGAGAGAAACCTCAACAAAACCTTTTCAGTCAGTCTAAGCACAACAAGCCGTATAAGAGGCGTTGTGTTTAGTCTGGGATCATGGTTATTATGTCTAACCCGATTCCTCAAACAGTAATACATTGGTTCAAGGTTTGATGAAACCTACCCTTTGCTCAGTAGACATACTTTTTTAGATTGACATGTAACTAAGTAAGCAATCTGAAGAAAAGCTATATGTGGGAGTGAGGGATGATACACAAAAACAGGAAAGGGAAGTCAAAGCTCCATCCTTTCTATAACTCATCTTGATGTTTTAGATGTCTTGCATCAAATGTTAGGTCTGCCCTTTGTTTAGATTTACACTTGATTGCCATTAAAAGCTTAATAGATTGGAATGATTTTTATTTTAAAACAAGAGATGTTGGATGTGTCTTATTATAATGATTTCTGGAGGATCATGTGACACTAAAGACTGGAGTAATGATGCTGAAAATCCAGCTTTGCATCACAGGAGTAAATTACATTTTAATATATCTGCAATTAGACAATTAGTTTTTACTGTACTTCTGATCCAATAAATGCCCTGGTGAGCAAAGAACTTTTAACCAGATGTTTATTTATAATGCCATAATCTGTCAGTCTGCTCTCTAGATATCGACATTAAAAACTCAGTATTTATTATCAACCACTAATAAATAGACTGTAGAGACTCACAAATAACCAAATGCTTCATAACACAACGCCTAAAATATAGACTAATGCTATATGGAAGCTGCTGAACGGTAAGGCTCACCTGAAACGGCTTTCTCGTAGCTCTTTCCCAGGTTTATGAGGTTACGTAACCCCGGGTTGAACTGATCCATAACATTCTGCCAAGAGAGGATTTCAAACAAAGGAAATGGTTAAAAAGTTGGCATGAGCAATCCTGATGTAATCATCGCAATTATGACATTGTGTGGACTGAGACCGTTCTGTCCATGAAACAACCTCTTCAGTCCCATTGTAAAGTGTCTCTGGTTTAATGTACGATGCATGCAGGGGTCCATCAAAGTGCAAAATGCTTCTGCTTTGGCACATACAGTAACACCATATTTAGGTATGTTAGTATGCTGTCTACCCACCCATCAAGAGACTCGACAAAATACAAACTGTTGAGTTCCAACCTGGTTCAGGTCCGATTTTCATGGATAACTTTGGTTTGTAATTAGTGGTTAAACATATTGTGTCTTCGAATCACTGTAACTCATTTTGTCCAAGCGTCCACCAATGAGTCAGAATAAACTGTTGGACCAACTTCCAGTTTGGTCTTAAATACAGACAGTAGCTCTCAGGCCTGACTTTTAATGAATGCCCACTAGATGAGACTGCAATTCTGCCAAATATTATATAGACACCAATATTATATACTATTTTCCAAAAAAATAGCAATATTCTTTCAAATGTTTCATACATCCTCAGAGACATAAGAAGATGGGGATAGTCCACTCGTAAATGTGAAATAAATTTGAATGGGAAATCATAAAGCTCAATATAAGTCCCACCTTCTGTTTAAAAAGTGTATAATAGTGATGCATCATAATGAATGAAACCAAAATTTAAGTTTTCATGAAGCCGAAAACTGAAACCAACAGTTTCTGCAATTAGATTTGGGTAACTCACCACGGTATACTGTTCATGATTGGTCAAGTTGCTCAACAACAATATACACTCACCGGCCACTTTATTAGGTACCCCATGCTAGTAACGGGTTGAACCCCCTTTTGCCTTCAGAACTGCCTCAATTCTTCGTGGCATAGATTCAACAAGGTGCTGGAAGCATTCCTCAGGGAGTTTGGTCCATATTGACATGATGGCATCACACAGTTGCCGCAGATTTGTCGGCTGCACATCCATGATGCGAATCTCCCGTTCCACCACATCCCAAAGATGCTCTATTGGGTTGAGATCTGGTGACTGTGGAGGCCATTTTAGTACAGTGAACTCATTGTCATGTTCAAGAAACCAATTTGAAATGATTAGAGCTTTGTGACATGGTGGAAGTAGCCATAAGAGGATGGGTACATGGTGGCCATAAAGGGATGGACATGGTCAGAAACAATGCTCAGGTAGGCCGTGGCATTTAAACGATGCCCAATTGGCACTAAGGGGCCTAAAGTGTGCCAGGAAAACATCCCCCACACCATTACACCACCACCACCAGCCTGCACAGTGGTAACAAGGCATGATGGTTCCATGTTCTCATTCTGTTTACGCCAAATTCTGACTCTAACATCTGAATGTCTCAACAGAAATCGAGACTCATCAGACCAGGCAACATTTTTCCAGTCTTCAACTGTTCAATTTTGGTGAGCTCTTGCAAATTGTAGCCTCTTTTTCCTATTTGTAGTGGAGATGAGTGGTACCCGGTGGAGTCTTCTGCTGTTGTAGCCCATCCGCCTCAAGGTTGTGCGTGTTGTGGCTTCACAAATGCTTTGCTGCATACCTCGGTTGTAACGAGTGGTTATTTCAGTCACTGTTGCCCTTCTATCAGCTCGAACCAGTCTGGCCATTCTCCTCTGACCTCTGCCATCAACAAGGCATTTCCGCCCACAGAACTGCCGCTCACTGGATGTTTTTTCTTTTTCGGACCATTCTCTGTAAACCCTAGAGATGGTTGTGTGTGAAAATCCCAGTAGATTAGCAGTTTCTGAAATACTCAGACCAGCCCTTCTGGCACCAACAATCATGCCACGTTCAAAGTCACTCAAATCAACTTTCTTCCCCATACTGATGCTCGGTTTGAACTGCAGGAGATTGTCTTGACCATGTCTACATGCCTAAATGCACTGAGTTGCCGCCATGTGATTGGCTGCTTAGAAATTAAGTGTTAACGAGCAGTTGGACAGGTGTACCTAATAAAGTAGCCGGTGAGTGTATTTCAGCCAAACAAATTGTACATATCTTTGGTCATCAGAGAAGCACCAATGTGCTGTTGTCACTGTTTTGTTTTGGTCAATGATTTTGACCCTCCATTTCGGCCTCTGATTTTTTTTTCGGTTGATGAAATTTTAGTACATTATTATTAAATCAACTCATTATAGACATGATTCTATTTTCCTTATTCATTTTTGTGCAATTTTAGCTAAAAGAGCCAATTGTATGCAGGTTGTTTTGGTGATTTGACATGTTCTTTGAATGTACTGTAATCCTTTGTAGATGGGAGTTGTACCTTTACCAAAGCCACTAGATGACAAGCCTGCAACCTTTAGCCGAAAAAGCGTAACGGCTAATGCTAACGCTGGTACGCAGGGAAGGAGAGCAGAGGCCATTTTTCTATGAATGGATGTCAATGGAGAGGAGGCTTCACTACACCGAATAAACCACTTGTGTGTGAGGAAACACCTTATCATTTAAGTAATCAACAGCCTGTTCGCTAAAAAGCTAACAGTATTATACACACAATATGCTAATGTGTTATTTCACATGACGATTTATGAACTTGAGTTGTTAGCAGCTTACATCTTCTTTTAAAAGTGACCTATATCCAATATCCGCAATATACACATGGCGAAACAACCCAAGGTAGATATACTGACCCGGATAAATCTTACTATAAAAAAACAATTTGCAATTGACACAGACTAAATGATAACACAAGCTTTTGCTTTCCGCAACGTCTTTAAAGGTCAACAACAATACATTGGGTTGAGCCTTCGCCCTCCATGGCGCCACTGAAAAGAGTCATGTGATCACGGTTAGCGTTAGGGGTGGGGGAAAAAATCGATTCTTAGATGCATCGCGATGCGGACGTGGACGATTCTGAATCGATTCACAATTGTCAAAAATCGATTTTCAAAAAAAAAAATTTTTTTTTAGATATATATTTATAATAACGTAATATTGACGGAACGCGAAAGACGGAACTCTGAAGCGCGGAAGTGCAGTGGCCGGACCGTCTGTGGCGTGCACATAACAGACGCGGACGCGATGGCTGAGCGCCAAATCCAAACACCCTCCTCGTTAAAAGCTGACGTGTGGAAATATTTTGGCTTCTGAAGTTGAAGGGGGAAAGGAGCTGGACAAGAGCCACACTAGTTGTAAGCTTTGTAGAGTAAAACTAAAATATTTCGGAAACAAGACACATGAAGCCAAATGACACGTTTCCAGCCAGAGGAGGAAAAACACTCGGCTGTAACGTTACCGGTCGTTGTTATATTATTAATTTACTACAAATATGCTGCTAGTTCAGACACACATGTATTTTCCTGTTGGTTCTTTGCAATGTTAATAAAATATATTGTACGTTAATTCTTTATGGGTCATTACTTTGTACTTTTAAAGCAAAGTATTTATAGTCACACACACACAAAAAAAAGATTCTGATAATCGATTTAGCATCGAATCGCAGCCCTCTGAATCGTAATCGAATCGAATCGTGAGGTGCCTAGAGATTCCCACCCCTAGTTAGCGTCCACTTGAGTTGATGTAATTCGTCACAGGCACTTTTTCAATGACGTACGACTTGCATTGACGGAAATATCCGATCTGGGGTGTGTTTCTCGAACAACGACGTAACTCACTGCTTAACTACCAGAGTAAGAAACCAACTACATCCGTTTCCCGAAACCAAACCATATTGTCACAAATTTGTTGTTCAACCATGTTTTTAATGACGTCTCGCACATGGTGGAGTAAAAACTTCTTTTAATAAATCTGTTTGAGACCGAATTAATGCTAGATGTTTTCTAGAAATTGCAGACATGGCATCTGAGGAATATTTCTCATTTTTCTCAGTTATTTTGGTTTATTTACAGATTTAATCATAGGCTCGTTCTTACACACTAGAGCACGTATGTACATGCGCACTCTCCAAAAACGGCGCGTTAAATCTCTTGACAAACTAAAAGACATGATTTACAAGTGTGTTTATTCGAAATAAAAGATATAGACTGAACTGAATGTCAGCTTGCTTTAAGGATTTATTGAGTCCACATGTCACTCAAACAAGAAACTATGCTTCTAACCACAGCTCGAGAGCTGTCGTTTCAACCACACAACTTTGAGATGCCGTTAGCGAATGTTTACTTGCAAATGTTTTGGGAAACAGTCTCGCTAAGCTATGCTGATGACGACGGAACTTGCGACCATATTTGGGAAAACGCACCACATATAAATGAGGCCTGAAACCAAACTGAGAATATCGTAATTCTGCTTACACGTCCCTGGGTCATATTCGATCCATGCCACGTGGAAGGAAAAAATAAATAAATAATCGGAATTGGGTCACTTGAACCATGTAATGTAAATGCGGCCTTAGAGAGAGCCGATCATCAGCTTCACATAACTCTGTACACACATCCTCTGAGAGACCTTCAATTAGAAATTGAGAGTGTGAAATATCCAGTCATGACTCGACCCACTTGAGCCTTTCTGTAGAGTTTCTCACAGGTTGCCCATCTCAGGGTTTGAGGTGCTGTGCCTGTTCCTCCTCTGTCAGGAGCGAGAGTGTATGTGGAATAAATTCATGCGCACCCCTCTACGTGTCAATATTGCGAACTACCTCGAGTCGACGAGACAGCCTGGTAGTGACATAATGGGAATGACAAAGTTTGGGAGAATGAAGTTTGGACAAGTAAATAAAACTACTGCTTTTCACAACAAGATCAGTTTCTGAGCAAAAGCCCCATGTGTTGTAGTAGTTGCCAAAGCTGCATTACGAAGAGAGGAAGCAGAGATTTGAATGAGTCACTAGTGAAGACTTGGGCTTGGTTATATTTACTGAACTTTAAGCGGCATACATGTGCTTACTTAATGCTTACTAATCCTCACTTCAGCCCACTCCTCTCCACTCCCTGACACGTATCGAGCCGCCTGAGACTCCTGCCGGTATGACAGGAGGCACAGCTCACATTATACTGGAATGAAACTATATTGGAATGACACACTCATGGACAGATCTGACGTGTGAGCGGGTCTCTGGTAATAAATAAACCTCCTACCAATGAAAGCGTTCATTCGGTGCCACAGCTATACTGTTTGGTTATTTATTTAAAAACTGCTTTAAACCCATGTTAGACCAACAGAATTCACCGATAATGTTGTCCCAACTAGTTAACACACAGTTGTCTGAACAAAGAATTTCAAAATTAATAATACTTCCTGAAACATTAAAGGGATAGTTCACCCAAAATTTTTAATTCTGTCATTTTCTCACCCTGATGTTGTTCCAAGCCTGAAGGATCACCAAAAGTCAAACACAAAAGACGATATTTCGAAGAATGTTGGTAGTCAAACACTTTCGGTTTCCATTGATTTCCATTATATTTTTGACCATACTATGCAAATCAATGGGAACCGAAACCGTTTACCATCTTTTGTGTTCCACAGAGTAAAGGTAGGGTTGTGTTCACACTAGTTCAGTTCTCTTGATTCCTTTGGTCCGAAAACGAAAAAGTAAATGATACATTTAGCCCTGTTTCACTTAGTGTTCACACTGTCATTTTTACACCAAACCTAAAGATAAAAAACAAAAACGAACAAAGACGTACAGTATATTTGCAACAGAGCTTGTCGAACATCCAAACCAATGCTGTCTTGTGGGCTAAATGTGCTCGTTGTAAATGCGTAACTACATATGATGGTATTTTGACCAGCTGAGAACTCGTGAAGAGCTTATAAAATGTGTAAAGGAGTCAAAATAGCGTCAGGAATCCCCCCGTCACACACACACACACACAAACGAAGATCTGCTGCGAGGAGACGCGGTTCTGATGCCTGTACTGAACTGAGACGGGCAACATCACGACTATGACGAGAAAAAACAGGTATGCTTGAGCATCTGTCCTTTTTAGGGACACATTGTGTGACAATTTCGTGTTTTTGGTTTGTTACATGTCTTTGGTCCGTGTTGCGTCTCATATTTCATTTTATAACAAATATACATCTTTCTAGCTATGCCAAGCTCTAAAATATTGTATATGAAGTCAAAAAGGTTGAGATCCACTGCCATACAGGCTAGGATCGACATGAGGTTGAATAAATGATGACAGAATTTTCATTTTGTTTAAATTAATTATGCATTTACTGTTATGAGATTGTTTTACTGGTTGCTGTCTTTAATTACGTTTTTGATATTTTGTCATTATTTGTTGTGTTGTGAATGTAAAGTAGTCATCTTTTAACATTTGTTCACAATTTTCACTGAGGATTATGCGTCACATGTTGTGGTCTGTGTACAACCTTTAACACTATTTCTCAGATATCTTTGCATTGTAGGATGATTACTCCTTCAGAGATAAAGAAAGCATAGTTCACTTCACATATTAAAGGGATAGTTCACCTAAAAATGAAAATTAGCCCATGATTTACTCACCCTCAAGTCATCCTAGTTGTATATGACATTCTTCTTTCAGACGAATACAATCGGAGTAATATAAAAAAATGTCCTGGCTCTTCTAAGCTTTATAATGGCAGTGAATGGCCGTTTCTGTTTTGAAGTCCATAAAAGTGCATCTCTCCATGATAAAAGTGCTCCACACGGCTCTGGGGGGTTAATAAAGGCCTTCTGAAGAGAAGCGATGCGTTCGTGTAAGAAAAATATCCATATTTTTTCGGCCATACGCAGTCTACTTGCGCCTAAAGCCGTGTGGAGCACTTTTATGATAGATCGATGCAGTTTTATGATGGAAAGATGCACTTTTATGATGGATAGATGCAAATTAATGGACTTTATGGACCTAGGATGACTTCAGGGTGAGTAAATCATGGGCTAATTTTCATTTTTGGGTGAACTATACCTTTAAAGTAACCATGAAATTAAAATCAACAATTCCTATTTTTTGTGGAACATTGCAAACCACAACCATCCAATCAAATCCACATGGACAAAATCAGCTCCTGAATTAATTGTCCTATAAAACTATATAGTTACCAAAATGAAATTTTTAAAAATATTTAAGAAAGCAATTGAGAGAATTTAAAAATCTAAATGCTGCATCACATTGCCTTTTGACTTTTTAACTTTTGTCAACACTTTCTCTTTTACAGTGTGGGGTCTACTGTATGTCTCTGCGATTAGTTATTACATATCAGTAAATTTGTCACGACAAATGTCAAGAACAAGCTTGGGTCATATTCCAACCCAAAATAATACTAATTATTATTCCTTTTATATTATAAAGAAAATGAAAGGGTACATTTCAGGATTAGGGCATAACTGCAGAATACCAGAAAACAATTATAAATAAATAAATAAATATATATGTGTGTGTGTGTGTGTGTGTGTGAGAGAGAGAAATGTGACGTCACGTTTCCCTCACTTTGATTCAGACAAATTAAATTAGGCTATATCTGCTTGTGCCAAGCCCAATATTAAGGCTGTTTTTGGCTAGTTTTAAAGGGAAATAAAGAAAATGATTCACACAAGGGTGGAGAGATAATAAAATAGGCCTACATTCGCAATAGGCAAAAAACAGTCTCAGTATACGTGTGTGACTAAATCCCAGAATGATTTAATCTACTGTAGGATTCAGATCTGACTCATTTGGGTGTGTCAATAAATCATTTGACAACCATATGTTCTGTGGTTAAAACCCACCTGTTGCTCAAATGTCAACCCGAAAATTTGAATAACCTTTAGAGAATCGTGTTTGTCTTCTTCAGCAAACGACCCAGTTTGACAAAAAGTTTCCTGACCTGGTTAAAAGTTTCTCAACCAGCAAATTGACCACCTAAATCCAGAAACGTCCTACCTCTCAACCTGTTATCGACGACGTGTTTGAAATGTCTTCATATATGTGGATGTTTCACGCTTAAGCAAGCCACTGTGATCTCCACAGGTGAATAATATTGGTGTTTTTGTCTTGAGGTAAGCGTCATTTCTCTCACCTTGTAAGTGCTCTCGGTCAGCTTATTCACCTCCTCCGGGTCGCGCGACATTCTTCAGCGACGAGCGCGCGCACTCAAATGTCCACAAAGACTCTCCTCTCAATCGAAAATTACTCCAAAATAACTCGTACCGGACAGCACGCTTATCGCCTCCCGACAGTCCTCATAGCAAGACGCTCGTCTACAAGAGCTGTGCTATAGATTTCCTTAAGAAAGTGGCAGCAGTGTTACTCAGTAACGGACAGGTGGAGTTGAGCTGAGAGTCGAGGCTTTGCTTCAAACTTATGAGCGCGTGAATGAATAGTGTGTGTGTGTGTGTGTCTCTGCGACGTCAGGGGCGGGACGGATAAGGTGAGGTGTGGGACGTCACGCACGGTCCTCTCTGACAGGTGCACTCGGACAGAAACGAAAGATAAATGCTGACATCTGCTGCTTATTTTCGTTATTGCAGACATCTGAACATTCATAGAGTCTGTACTTGCTTTCAAGAAAAACAACGAGAACAAAACAAAGAGAAACATGCACTGAAAAACCGTAGAAGCTGAGTGCAAAAACTCGCAAGTTTACTTTTCTTTTCTAAGTTTTTGCACTCAGTTTTTGTTTTGTTTTTTCAAGTGAATGCAATTTTTATATTTATTGAGCTTTTTACTTTTTATGCACGTGGCATTTTGGTGCACTTTTCTCTTTTTATGTTCATATTTATAATTATATATAAATATGCATGTGTAAATTTACATAAGTATACATTTACACACACACACACACTGTAAAATATACAAGTATAGTTTCAATAAAGACCCAATTAAAACTGTGGAAAATCAAAAATATAGATGTGCTAAATGTGCTGATTATGTTGGGCTACATTGCGTTTTTTTCTACTAGTACTTTACTGTTATAGGCCTATGTGTTGTTTTTTTTTTAGATCAAAATGTATTTATTTAGATTTGCAAATGATATTTATTTTAACCCATTTAAGCCCACCGGCAACTATAGTTGCCGCAGTGTATAGTTGTCATTTTCCTTTTGTAAGTATTTTTCTAGATGTTATCTATGTTTTAGGTCTCAATGACATGCAAGGAAACAACCAAATAAAGGATTTCAAGAAAAAAAAAAAAGGTATTCACTTCCTTCCTGTCACATGAGGCTGTTAACTTCCTACCCCTACTTCCAGGAAGCATAGCGAAGGCAAACCCTCCCAAAGAAAGCTCATTTTCATATTACTAATAAGTTTTTTTGTTGACATATATATATCTACATAATCATGAAGGTCTCTAGAATCATCCAAACAAAACAAGTACTGTCCACTTATGAACCTACCACTTTAACCCTTGTGCGCTGTTCATTTGAGGTTTACAGTCGGGCTGTTTGTGGTCTCAGAGACCCCAGGCAACAAACTGTCATTTAAATTTTAATTTTTTTTTTTTTTTTTACATTTTTATGTAAAAGACCCACATTTCTACAGTAAATTTCATTCATGGGGACAACATGGATAATTTGACATGGTTTAGTGTAAGATTTTTGCCCATCTTTTGGGAAATGACGTTTTAAAAGTAGTTTAAAAGTGTTTACTGTAACCAGTAGATACCAGTAACATTTCTAAAAGTTTAAAACTAAAAGAAATCTTTTCACACGTTTTTCCAGTTAGATTCATATCGACATATTATGAAATCATAATTATAACAATAAAAGTTACTTTTTGTCAAAGTTTAGCAAAAAATCAATAATGTTACATTATGATTAGAATCAAATCTGATCAGGATGTTACAAAGAGAAAAGTTGGAGTCTTTAGAGTTGATCATTTATTTCAAACATCTGTTTTTCATATAATTCTAAACAATTTAAGTGTGCCACTTATTTTTTGTCTATGTGTGTTCTTTCTGATTTTGAGGATGAATTTTGTCCATTGACAAAAATCATTTGATTCTAATCATAATATAATATTATTGAAAAACAGGGGGTTTTTTCCAGTACAAAAAATGCCTAAACTTAGACAAAAAGTTACTTTTATTGTTATAATTGTGATTTCATAATATGTAGATATGAATACAACTGGAAAAACTTGTGAAAAGATGTCTTTCATTTACGGTAGTCAAATAGCAAATAGCAAATAGTGGACTTCTGCAGCCATACTGGGTAAAGTGATAATTTGTTACTTTTAAAACTGCATTTTTCAAAAGATGGGCAAAAATCTTACACTAAACCATGTCAAATTATCCATGTTATCCCCATAAATGAAAGTTAGAAATGTGGGTCAAAAAGACCCCAAACAGCGCACAAGGTTTAAACCAAATGGATTTGTTGTTTGTTGTGTTCTCATATTCAAGAGATTATAAGCTAGATTCAGCTTTTTTGGGTTTGCATCAAACGTTCTTCGACTTTTATACACAATAAATTTGTTTATGAATAAAGATTGATCTGTTGAAAGCAGTTATTTTGATATAGATTCCAAATGTTCTCCTCCTATTCATATTTGTTGCCGCACATTCAAATATAGTTGCCGCACATTCAAATACGATTTTCAAGAAGAAGAAAAAAAAAACTGGGGAAAATAAATGCAGAACATGTTCACATAGGACACTATTAACATGACTATATGCATGAAACCATTCAGAAAAATTTGGGCACAAATGTTTTTTTTTTTGTTTAATTATTTATTTAGTTATTTGCTTGTTTAAATCAATGTGTATTCATCAATATTTATCAATTTATTATTTTGATAAAATGTGTTTGTGTACTTAATTTAACATTTTTTATTATTATTTTATTATTTTTGTTGAGTGCTGTCAAATCGATTAATCGCAATTAAAGTTTGTACTATATATATATATATATATATATATATATATGCAACCACACACACACACACACAAATATATTAACTTTTATGTTTATTTTTTAAACATCTTGCAAGGGGTGGCAACACCAAAGCAAACACGCATGCATAGTTTTATTGTGGATTTGTGGCCTGACATATATTCATATGTGTTCATGAATGTGTATTGGGTGCTGTCCAGCCAAAACAAACTATGTTGCATTATTTTATTATAATTATATTTAGATATTTATAATATTATCACTGCTGCTTTGAAACAATCTGCACTGTAAAAAGCACCATATACATAAAAGTTACTTGACTTGATGAATAAGTGAATAAAACAGCTGCATTATCACATAGTAATCTGTTTGAAAAGAGTTAAAGTCCCCCTGTAGTCAATTATTTATCCCTTAAAACTCACCTTTGATCACCAAATTGACACATTTAAACTTTAAATTATTCATGGCTTAAAATAGCTTGAATGTAACTCTACACCCTTGCCTCATTTATTATATGCGGTTCTATGAATATGCAAATGAGCCCCGCCTCCACTCACTCACACCAGCTCAGAGATCCACTGGTTGACGATCACACGTTGATCTGATTGGTTACAAGGTAGTGTGTGACGTCAGAAACACCAGCGATTTCAAACCGTGTTTTTGAGACTGTCTTTGGTTCACTGCAGTTTTAAGGAGAAAATACTCAGCAATGCTGTCGACTTATGAGTTTGCACATGGTTTGTCTTGAAGCATATTAAAAACACCACATAGACATATAAACAACATTTAAAGCTTGATTTTCACCACAGGGGGACTTTAAAAATAAATAACAAAATGGCAGTATCCAGAGCATCAACTCAAGACACTCTGTGTACTGTATATCAAAAACATCAAAAGATTATAAATGTCTCTGAGCTTATATCATTACTTCATAGAAAAGACTAGTTGTTTTAGTAGTATTATATTCCGATTACTTGGATGATATGAATCTTAAGAGCAAAAAAATCTTGTGAATTTGTTAACATTAGAACGAAATAGCCTAAAAATAGGACTAGTAGTAATAGTTGTGTTTGCAATAATTATCATTTAATTTCATTGTAAATATTCTGCTTATATTTTATAATTCAGTATAATCCCTGCAGAAATGCACAGAGTTTGCCATCATTCTGATTTGAATGAGCTTTTATCAGTTTTGAAAGCATGTGTTAGCATTGGAGAAATCTGCTGCAAATATATAGTGTTTTGCAGATGGTGATGAATGACAAAAGTGTTCATGGATTTTGGGAAATGTGGTCATTGAATGCATTTTGTGTGAAAGCAGTGAAAAATGATTCAGTTTGGCATAGACTTCTGGTTCTTCAGTATTGACCGATGCTTGTTAGCAATTGAAAAAACTGCAATACACACATTTATTATGACGTGTTATTTCAGTAGCAGAAGTTCAGCTATATTAATGAAAGTTAAAATAAGAGTCTCTGTAATATCTCACTGTTACTGATAGCTCAAAGTATTATGGGTAAAATCTCTCTACAGTCTATTCTGAAACATCAACACAGTTTCACTGATGATCTGTTATCAACATAAAACCCAGGATAGAGCGGCTGAGTGAATGTGGTCTGGACTGTGTGGATGAGGCTCATTGTGTCAGAGACGCTGTAGAAGGACAGAGTTCCTGCACTGTGATCCACACACACTCCTATTCTTCCGCTGATGGACTTTACAGGGAGAGGAGTGTGTATGTTATTGTGCCAGAATGAGTATCTGGAGGAAGAGCAGAACAAACTCCAGGACTGATCATTACGTCCAAACACACACTCATCACCCGATCCCTTCCTGCTGATGCTCTTATATGACACTGATATATACACACCATAATCTCCAGTCCACTCAATCTCCCAGTAACAGCGTCCACACACACTCTCTCTACACAACACCTGAAGATAATAATCAAATCTGTCTGGATGATCAGGATACGGCTGCTCTGTGCTAGTGTAAGTAATAACTCTGTTCCTCTCAGACAGACTGAGGTGTTTATACACTGTGTTCAGATCCAGAGTGAGCTGATGAGAATCTGATGGAGAGAAAACACATCAGAATCAGGAATTATGAATCACTCTGATCTTTTAATGTCTCTGAACTCTTCATGACTCAATGTTCAATGTATCATCAGTGTCTCAGTACAGCTGATCAGATATCCTGTGCAAATCCTCATTTACACGATCAATTATAATAATCATGTTTTTCTCTCCTTCTACAGGAAGAACATGAACACACTCAGTGAGTTTTTCTGCTTGTTTCTTCTTAGTGACTTACATTGTAGGAAGTCGTTCCTGGTCTTGGGATTCATGTTGGTGAATGTGACTGTGGAAATAAACAGACATGAACAGTGAAGAGAAATGACAGATCAAATGCATCCATTTCTAAGACGTTTCTAATCTGATATTAGATGATGGAGGACTCATTTCTGAGAACAGATTAATCTCCAGATGCCTCATATATACAACACTCGTATCGGATTCAATCCTAAATCCCAATGGACTTCATCCTACAGTACGTCACACAAGTATATATTACTTCTAAACCATCAAGGGATGTTTGTGGCTGTTCTGGAGAGTTGATGCACTTGCTCACGTTGCACTTGAATTAAAGATGAACTGTGATTTATAAAGTGGGATGCATTTAGGAAAACTGTTTGTGCGTATGGATGTTTTATAAATCACAAGAACATTTCAGAAACTGTTGTAGGTTCACATTTCGGATCATTCTACACACGTCTTTATAAAGGAGGAGCAGGACTTTACCTCCGTCTGAGATCTTCTTGATCTCCTCTTTGCAGAAATCCTCCAGTTTGTCTCTCAGCTGACGGACAGATTCTCTCACGCCATCAAAAGAGGAGAGAGAACCGAAGGGAACGTCGGGTTCGTCTGTATATTCAGGAGGAGCTGAGAGAGACTGGAAACTCTACAGAAAACAGAAATCAAAACTCATCATCTCCACACTTCAGCCAATAACCTTCACTATATCAGATCTGTGCGGCTCTTGTAGACTTGACTTCTCTTCAGTGACTCGCTTCAATCCAGCACTTTCACACAATCAGAAACTTTCTTCTCTTATTCATTATATGACATTCATTTCACAAACTCCAGTATTTGTCACTTACACACTCCTTGTGAAAAAGAAAGTAAACTTTTAAAAAGAATACCGTACTTATAACAGAAATAACATACTTAAAAAATATATAAGTGCAGATTGGATGTAATGTTTTAAGAAACTTAATTGCATGTTATTTTCAGTTAAATGAATGTGGTATAGTTTCATTAAAGGAGCTGTATGTAAGATTGTGGCCAAAACTAGTACTGCAATCACTGTCAAATTACTGTAGAGTGGTGTATCCCCTCCCCCTCCTCCCTGACTCGAGGTTGCCAGATCGGCTGCAGGATCCAGCAGGGACGTGACGAGCTGCAGCTGTGGTAACTACAGCAGAGCTGGCAACCCGGATGCCGCAACACTACTGACTTCGTGATTGGTAGATAGGTGGAGGGTGGAGCATCAGACCAAAACACAACATGACAACATCAACATCAGTTGAGGGCTGCAACTGCACTTTTTAAATGGCAATATCCTGGCCGGACTGCTGTTGTCAGTGATATAAGTATTTGAAATGTACATGATTTCTTAATGTCTAGTGACATATCAGGGCCATTTTATGATTAATTGAAATAAATTTCTTACATACAGCTCCTTTAAATGCAAATAGCTGAACTTTAGAGTGCTTTGTTGTTGTTGCTCTGCTTAAGTTGGTCTCATTCTGCTCTCATGAAATGTTTCTCTGTGAGTCTCTTGCTCAAGTCCACTATGATCCAGTTCTCCTCGATCTCTGTTACCTGCAGGAACTGGATGTGATCTTGTGTGTGTGAAAGCTGCTCCAGCTCAGCGTCTCTCCTCCTCAGATCATTGATCTCCTGCTCCAGTCGCTCCAGTCGTCCTTCAGCTCGACTCACTGCAGTCTTTTCCTGATCTCTGATCCGCTGTGTCGCCTCAGAGAGGCTTCTCTCAATGGAGCGGATGATCTCAGTGAAGATCTTCTCACTGTCCTCCACTGCTGTGTGTGCAGAGCGCTGTTACACACACACACACATCACACAGTTAGTTCAGTGAGTCCAAACTGAGACGTCTCACACTTCTCTTCTTCTCCAGACTCACCTTATGAGACTCCACATCCTCTCTCAGCTGATGAAGATCTTTCTGTCTCTGCTGGATTCTCTGACGGATCTTCATCTGCGTCTCCTTCAGCTGTTTCTGGAGGACAAACCAATGACAGCAAATGACACATAAAACTACTATCACACAATAAGGGTTAAAGATCTAGCATAGCAAGTTTACAATAGGTTCAAACCACAGATCAGTGAAGTTTGATGCTATTGACGTCATCATCTTTGATTTGGGCTCTGCGTACATGAGTTGATCAATGATTTGATTTGATTTGATTTGTGAATCAAAATTGGTCCTTTAAAAAAATAAGTACTTTTAAAAGTAGCATTCCTTTAAAAAGTGTATGTAAATAATATACTTTGAAAGAATTTACTTTAGTTTGAACTGAACGTAATGTTTACAGACACGTAGTTGCATGTTAATTGCCATTAAATGAAAATGTATTATAGTTTAAATTTATATTTAAAGCAATTAGCTGAACTTAACTGATTTCTAAGTACTTCTTCATATGTAATTTCATAATTGTCTTTAAAATATAGTTAAGTGTACTGTCATATGTACAGATAAGCATTTATGATAAGCTAAAATATACTGTAATAATGAAGTTGTACATTAAAAATATATTAACTTTAAATATATCAAATAACACATTACAGTTGTAATTATAATCAAGTAGCCTACTTTGTACTTTAGTATATACACATCAAAATAAGTGCACTTCTTTAAAGCACGGAGAAAAAGTCACATTAAAATATAAAAAATTATTAAAAGGTACTTTAAAGTAAAACCTTTAATTTGACATTACAAAGTGTATTTATTAAGTGAAAGTCATGAAAATTGACTCTCTTTAAGTGCACTTAAATGGCCTTTCATTTCATTAATATTATATTATCTGCAAGTTTTAATTTGAAGTACACTACAAGTGCACGTTAATACAATTAATCACACTTCGTTTCTAGACCACTAGTGGTTAGGATTACTTTTATGTTTTTTTCTCCTTTTTGGAGCTTGAAACTTTTGTACCCCATTGTCTTTCAATGTATAGAGTAAATCTTCAATTCTTCAAAATATCATCTTTACAATCTACAGAAGAAAGTGAGTAAAACCGGTTTGGAACAACATGAGTAAATGAGTGAGTAAATGAAGACAGCACTTTCATTTTTGCGTGATCAATCTCTCTCAGCTCATACCTGTTTCTCTGTCCTCTGCGCTGCAGTTGATACAGTGTTGTGGTTTTTATGTTCATACTCCTTACATCGCACACAAATGCATTCTTGATCAGTGATACAGAACATTTCTAGCTCTTTATCATGTTTGCGGCAGATCATGTCCTGCAGTCGTCCAGTGGCATCAATCACTTTGTGTGGTTTACGAGAGTGAAATTCCTCATGACGGTCAAAATGAGTTTGACAGTAAGACTCCTGACACACCAGACAGGACTTGACGGCTTTGTGTTTTCTTCCAGTACAGACGTCACACTCCACGTCTCCAGCTCCAGCGTAACAGTCTGCAGGAAGTTTAGTCTTCTTCAGTTTCTCCACCACTTCAGCTAGCATGGTGTTTTTAGCTAAAGCAGGTCTTGGACTGAAGGTCTGTCTGCACTGAGGGCAGCTGTAGACGCTCTTCTCATCCTCCTGATCCCAGCAGCCAGAAATACAGATCTTACAGTAACTGTGTCCGCAGAGGATAGTCACTGGATCCTTCAGGAGATCCAGACACACTGGACACATGAACTCATCCTGAGAAAATCTGGCTTCTGTCATTTTACTGAATGAATAACCTACAGAGAGACAAAAACAAACAGCTCAAAATACTTAAGTTTCGGTTTCCCGAACTGAGGAGTTGAAATAGTTCCTGCTTCTGTGTTTGAGTGACGTGTGTAAAATAGGCGTGTCTGTAAAGCAGCTTCCTCTTTGCACACACACTTTACTTCACACACACTTTACTGCTGTGTTTAGTGCCCTTCAAGTGGAGTCGAAAATATCATAATTACGAGTTCCGAGCTCGTGAATGACAGAGCGAAGATGTATTCATGAATGCATGCGTCTATATCCTGTGTCAAAGTAATATCAATATGTCAAAAATGTACAGTTGTAAGCAGAGGTGGGTAGTAACGAAGTACATTTACTTCGTTACATTTACTTGAGTAGTTTTTTGGAAAATGTTTACTTTTAAGAGTAGATTTAATTGTGGGTACTTTTACTTTAACTCGAGTACATTTCTAATGAAAAAACTGTACTTTTACTTCGTTACGTTGGGCGACGTTCCTCTCGTTACTTTATTTTAATGCAATATGTTGTAAAAAGCGTAGTTTATTCTAAGCGCGCGCTCTCTCTTTTTTCTGGGCATGAGCGATGCTCAATTCACAAATGAATCACTCTTTTGAGTCGATTCTGTTCAAAGACGTCATCAAACAAGTTGGGCAGATCTGTCTAAATCGGTTCGCGAATCAGTTTGAATGATCTGTTCAGTTTCCTGCACGCACTGAATCGTCTCGGAGTCGTAACATGAAGATTTAAGAACATCAAGAGCGTTGTATGAAGTGGCTGTCCACAGTCAGTACAGTCTAGAAAGTAAATCTGCAAATGCATCATATTTTTTGCCAGCGATGAAGATCTTTATTAGTTGAACATCTTCGTATGTTACTTCGTAAGCTGTCTGTGAATGAAGATCCACACGACGATACATTCGATTTCATTCAGGTAATACATTTTACAACCAAACAGATTATTACGCCATATAGCACTACTACAAAGTATGACATTACCCTTTTTTTTGGACATATACATTACTTTATAGTTATACATTAAATAAGCTACCATCGTCCAGTTTATGAATGTGTGTACACACACAATGTGTGTATTGCGCAGTGGCGTGCGAACTCGACTTGAAAACGAATGCCGTTGCCTGCCTTAGACACAGTTAACCAGTTTAAAGATGCTTTCATAAATATAGCCTACATTTTACATTTTGGAGAACAGACAGAAGAATATCCTTGCATTTGATCGTTGTTTGTGTTGGGCATGACATGACTGCCATCCCTTTACATTTGAATGCAAAACTCCATAGAGTCACTTTATTCCGACATCGTCTAATAATCCAAATGTAGTTGTATAAGTTATTATACTATTATACAAACCAAAGGACAGGCAATGGTTTTCGGGCTATAGATATAATATACAGATAAAAAAAAAAAAATTAAATGAAAAAATATCTAAATAATATCATGTTATATACACTCACCGGCCACTTTATTAGGTACCCCATGCTAGTAACGGGTTGGACCCCCTTTTGCCTTCAGAACTGCCTCAATTCTTCGTGGCATAGATTCAACAAGGTGCTGGAAGCATTCCTCAGGGAGTTTGGTCCATATTGACATGATGGCATCACACAGTTGCCGCAGATTTGTCGGCTGCACATCCATGATGCGAATCTCCCGTTCCACCACATCCCAAAGATGCTCTATTGGGTTGAGATCTGGTGACTGTGGAGGCCATTTTAGTACAGTGAACTCATTGTCATGTTCAAGAAACCAATTTGAAATGATTAGAGCTTTGTGACATGGTGGAAGTAGCCATCAGAGGATGGGTACATGGTGGCCATAAAGGGATGGACATGGTCAGAAACAATGCTCAGGTAGGCCGTGGCATTTAAACGATGCCCAATTGGCACTAAGGGGCCTAAAGTGTGCCAGGAAAACATCCGCCACACCATTACACCACCACCACCAGCCTGCACAGTGGTAACAAGGCATGATGGTTCCATGTTCTCATTCTGTTTACGCCAAATTCTGACTCTAACATCTGAATGTCTCAACAGAAATCGAGACTCATCAGACCAGGCAACATTTTTCCAGTCTTCAACTGTTCAATTTTGGTGAGCTCTTGCAAATTGTAGCCTCTTTTTCCTATTTGTAGTGGAGATGAGTGGTACCCGGTGGAGTCTTCTGCTGTTGTAGCCCATCCGCCTCAAGGTTGTGCGTGTTGTGGCTTCACAAATGCTTTGCTGCATACCTCGGTTGTAACGAGTGGTTATTTCAGTCACTGTTGCCCTTCTATCAGCTCGAACCAGTCTGGCCATTCTCCTCTGACCTCTGGCATCAACAAGGCATTTCCGCCCACAGAACTGCCGCTCACTGGATGTTTTTTCTTTTTCGGACCATTCTCTGTAAACCCTAGAGATGGTTGTGCGTGAAAATCCCAGTAGATTAGCAGTTTCTGAAATACTCAGACCAGCCCTTCTGGCACCAACAATCATGCCACGTTCAAAGTCACTCAAATCAACTTTCTTCCCCATACTGATGCTCGGTTTGAACTGCAGGAGATTGTCTTGACCATGTCTACATGCCTAAATGCACTGAGTTGCCGCCATGTGATTGGCTGCTTAGAAATTAAGTGTTAACGAGCAGTTGGACAGGTGTACCTAATAAAGTGGCCGGTGAGTGTATATATATATATATATATATAGGCCTATGTGATCCAAAGTAGTAACTAACTACTTGAGTAGTTTTTTCATTGGATACTTTTTTACTCTTACTCAAGTAACTTTTCAGATTATTACTTTTACTTTTACTTTGAGTAAATATTTCTATAAGTACTTGTACTTTTACTTGAGTACAGTTTTTGGATACTCTACCCACCTCTGGTTGTAAGTAGGGATGTCGCGGTACCAAAATTCCAGTAGTCGGTACCGATACCAATAAAATTGTACGGTTCTTCTCTGTACCAATTTCGGTACCACAGCAAAATCAGTTTGAACTATTTTTCCAATTTATTTAACTATTTGAAAAAAACTATTAAATTAATTTCAATTACTTTATTATTTATGACGGTAAATTTATGAAAGCATTGAAGGCTACATATTGTTTAAATAAAAAATATTGATGATATTGAGAAATAATGCTTGTAAAAAAATCAAGTGAAAATAAGCAACCTTCTATGCACACATTATTATTAGTAGTAGTAGTTGTAGTATTTTTAATTAATGGAGACGTAGTTAAATCTATTGTACAGTAGCCTAATATAATTAGCCTATTTCTGTCAAACTTTTATTTTGACGGGTTGCCGTGAAGACCTTTGAGTTTCTGTGTGTGTATAGACGAATCCGGCGAAACTACCGGAAGTAAGCGGGCGCCATTACTGAGCTGTTGCTGGGTAGCGTTGCGCCATTGCCTCCTACTGTTTTATTTGCAACTTGCGTCCACTGGAATAAACAGCCCGCGATTTACGACTGTCACTAACCTTACAACTTTTATAATGTCGAGTGGGAAAACATGTTGGCATTTTGAAAAATCATCGGATGCCAGGCGAAGGAGAAAATACTCTTGAATACCTTTAAAACAACAGAAGGGGCGCATTGGGGTAGTAACGTTAGTAACAGTACTGTTATGTCTGTTGTTAATGTTTGATTTGCTTTACTGTGACAGATTTTTTTTTAAATAAATTAAATTAAATTAAATATGCATTTTTTGCTATAATAACAATTATTTAATGACATAAGTAAAAAAAAATATAATAAATATGTAATATATTTTATTTTATTTTATTTTATTTAATTATATCAAGAAGCCTAAAACATAAAAAAACAAAAGGCATCAAAATACAATCGAGGATTAAAACACAATAAAGTCCAGGACTTATTTCCATTGTGGTCCTCTACACATAACGTCAAGACAGGACAATTACATACTGTGCGATAATCAAATAACACAACATACTATATAAAAAAAAGATTTTAAATAAGAAAAATTGTAAATGGTAACTGGCTCCTGGTTCTATTTCGCTACCCTCTCTAATAACCACTCCCTGGCCCTCTTTTTAAAAGAATTGATGCTTAAAATTCCTTTAATTTGCCGATCTAACTTGTTCCACTGAACCGCCCCTATGTAGGTAAATGTTTTTTTCCCTAACATTGTCTTAAATGCATAAGGACAAAGGTCTGATATACTGCCACGAGTGTAAACAGTGTGTGTGTCCTTCACCTTGGTAATAAGACACAACAAATAATTTGGGACTTTACCATATAATATTTTGTGGGTCATGGTCAGTCTTGACATAATAACGCGTGACTCAACAGGGAGCCAGTTAAGCTCAACAAATTGTGACCTTCCTATATGAGACCTATGGCCCATGTTTAGAATTATTCTTATTAAATTATTTTGTGCTGTTTGCAGCCTTCCTTTAAGTCGTTTTTTAAGGCCTTCAAACCAGGAAGTGCATGCATATTCAAACTGGTTTAAAATTAAAGCGTTAGCTAAAATGATCATTGTTGACCTATCTAAAAAAGTAGAATTTCTAGCTAAAAACTTTATAAGCCCAGTGACTTTACTCAGAACCTTATTGGCCATCATCCTGCCATCCAAGTTGTTTTCTAGGATGCAACCCAGGTATTTTACTGAGGTTTTTGTCCTGACCTCAATATTATTCAAAATGACCCTAATTTCGAGCATCTGTTTAGTTTATATTTTGAGCCAAACAGAATGGTCTCTGTCTTTTCAAAATGTAGAGACAGTCTATTGTCAATCAGCCAGTTATTTACAGAAGATAGTTCAGGACTCAGGTTACTCTCTAGAATGGATTGTTGTTTATGAGACATTAAAAGTGCAGAATCATCTGCGTACAAAAATAGTTCACATGAACAGGAATCGGCCATATCATTAATATATGTTAAAAATAATGATGGTCCGAGAATACTTCCTTGTGGAACGCCACATTCAACTATACAAGGGTCTGATAATATTCCCCCTAAGGCTACCAATTGTTCCCTCCCTGATAGGTAAGATCTAAACCAT